AAAAAAAAAAAAAAAAAAAAAAAAAAAAGCAGCCCAGGGAGGAAACCCGTTGACATCTACCCTTGGCGAGGGATTTCCTCAGAAAGGCCGGGCACATCCCTCCTCCACCCCAGGGCTGGCAGGCTGCCACTCTCGCCCAAACCTGCGGCGAGCGGGCATCTCCCACCGGAGCGGCACCGGTCACGACGCCTGGGCCGCATCCAACAGGTGGATGTCTGCAGAACTTGTGGTCGTCGGGCTTTCAAGTTCCTACCAGGAATCTGGGTCCGTGTGCCTGAGGTGAGAAACACTGGGGGGCGGGGGGGGGGAGGGCGAGGGGGACCCCTCACTTCCACGCTTCGTTAAACCTGGAGGAAGGAGGAGGAGCAGAGGGGAACGTCTCTGTGCATGTGTTGTAGGGCTGGGTGCCGGTGGAGCCCTCACTTGGTAGGCCAAAAAAAACCCAAACAAAAATGGATACAAATGTTAGAGCCTCAGAAGCTATCGATATAAGATGCAAAACCTACTCGTAACCACTTGGGGCAGCATGGGGGGAAGGGAAAGACGGGACTCTCCTCTTCTGAAGCGAACGGCGAAGTTCTTTTTTTTTTTTCCTTTCTTTTTTTAATGTTTATTTATTTTTGAGAGAGACAGAGACAGAATGCGAGTGGGTTAGGGGCAGAGAGAGAGGGAGACACAGAACGCGAAGCAGGCTCCAGGGTCCGAGCCGTCAGCGCAGAGCCCGACGCGAGGCTTGAACTCACCAGCTGTGAGATCACGACCTGAGCCGAAGGCGGACGCTCGACCGACCCGGCCACCCAGGCGCCCCTACGAACAGCGAAGTTCTAAGTGAGGAGAATACCTCCTTTCTGCTTAGAAAAATGCATAGAGAAATAGTAAGCGCTGAAAACCTTCAAACGAACGCAGACTCATGCAAGAAGTTACATACAAAACATGCAAGAATCAGTCATTGCTTCTTAGTCGCCTCACACTTTACCTGAGGTGCAGAGTCCTCCCTGCTCTTCTAGGTGTGCTGAGCAGCTTTATATTCTAATTTCTAGCGAAAGGGGACAGAAGGACACAACGGCGGGAACGGGGGCGGGGGGGGCCGATGGGGCAGGGGAAACGGGTACAGGAACCGGGGAGCAGAAAGCTCTGGAAAATGACTGGTGGAGATAGAGGGGTCAGAAGAGAGGCGTCTCAACTGGACCGTCAACCCTTTGAGTGGTGCCTCCCACCTGGGGGCCTAGCACAATCTGGACACAGGCGGAGTATTTGACTGGAGTAGCAGAGGTGAAGAAGAAACAAGACACCATGAGAGATGGCATGGGGCAGATCCCAACGCCCAATAAGGCATTCGACCTCCACTGCCCTTAAAAGCCTGCCACGGCTCTGAAAGGCTCTTGCTGTAGTGGCCACGCTCATGGCCAACATTGACGCCCGGGCCTTCCAAAGCGGGGCAAGCTGCTGCTCAGGGGGCTGACGAGTCCGGACTGCTAAAGGTTTACAGAGCCACGAACACGCCGTGAGATCCCGAACAACGGATAATAGGTTTCATCAATTTCGTTTGTGATAGACTCCATCAAGTTCGTTTGGTAGATGCTCGCCGTGACTCAAGTCTGGCATTAGCGCCTGCATCCAGAATGAGTTTCCTCCCCCCGCCCCCACATAAAATGCATCGGTGTGGTTGGACACAAAGCGTACAAAGCAGGCACAGAACCCTCAGAAGTCGTCACAACCCTGGATAAGATGAACTCTACCGCCATCACCGCTGTTTGCTTTGCCCCCTACTTTGAAGCCTTCGCGAGGGACGTCTGCTTTTCTAATTCAACGACAATGACTCCGCTCTCTTCGCCAAAGAGCCCCTTGTGTTTAGTTTCTCAGTGCACGACTTGACATGAAGACCGTGGCTCTTACGAGCTGCCTGTTTTTAAATGGCCCAGTAGTTTCGCTTTCCTTTTAACACGTTCCCAGATAACAAATGGAGAGTGGGATGAATCGTCACGTCGAAGGGTAAAATAAATTAGCCCCTTCACTGAGAGGCTCTCTTCAGGTTTTCTATCAGCACAACAGAGTCAGTTTCTTCTTTGGTTTGCTTCTCATAGATGTCGTACTTCTTCCAGTGCTGGAAGGGAAGAAAACACACACACGATGACTCTTCTAAACAATGTTCTCTCCCTGAGGACTCCCAGCCAGGGCTTAATTTTAGGTTTGCGTGCATGGAACCATGAGCGTATGCCTTCCTGTTACGGTTTTGATTTTTTTTTTTTTGACCTAAGAATCTTCATCTATTTGAACAATGAAACGAAACAATCAGGAATTAACATGCGAGGTGGGGGGAGAGCGTGGGATCGTGCCGCAGCGTTTAAGAGCTATCTCAGAGGGAAAAAAAAAAGAGCTATCTCAGGAGATACATTTGGGCATGTTCAAAACTGGAAACCGAGTCTTTTGAAGAAGACTAATAGGGTGGCAGTGCTTTTTCTTACTTTAACTGTCACTTCCTTTATTTTCTTACTACCCAAATGTGACCTCTGTTCCAGAGATAGAATAGGCTCCAAATGTCAACCAGCATCTAGGCCAATGGCGGTATATAAAATGTCCCCAAAAAAGTCTTACCGCAGTTACAACTTTGTAAAGACCCTATATTAACAGTTTCATGTGACAGCATTTGCTAGAACCAGGAATTATGCGTAAGGTGAGCTCATCTTGAGGTCAATGTTAAGTGTGTCTCTTATGGTAAAAGCCAAGATCCTGGCCTTTGCCTTCTTTACTTACAACTCAAGGGAAAGGATGGAACCTGAGCTCAGTCCCCTCATCTGGAAAATAAAGTCACTAGACGAAACCTGGTGTCTATGCAAACTATGGCGTAAGGGCAGAATCCAGCAGGCTGTTTTTGTAAATAAAGTTTTTTTTTTTTAATTTTTTTTTCAACGTTTATTTATTTTTGGGACAGAGAGAGACAGAGCATGAACGGGGGAGGGGCAGAGAGAGAGGGAGACACAGAATCGGAAACAGGCTCCAGGCTCTGAGCCATCAGCCCAGAGCCTGACGCGGGGCTCGAACTCACGGACCGTGAGATCGTGACCTGGCTGAAGTCGGACGCTTAACCGACTGCGCCACCCAGGCGCCCCTGTAAATAAAGTTTTATTGGAACGCAGCCACGCCTATTGGCTTCTGTACCGTCCGTGGCCGCTTTCATGCTACTGCGGCGGAGGTGAGTTGCCGTGACGAAGACTGAAGGGCTCGGTAAGTCAAACATATTGACTATCTAGCTCTTCACAGAAAGCATATGGAGGGAAGAGTTGAGAAACGATGCTTAAAATTTCCAACTTCTTCTAAATTATTTAACCCTCACACCCCTAATAGAAGGGCTAAAATAAAAAATACTGACAATTCCAAGTGCTGCCGCAGACACGGAGTAACTAGATCCCTCATCTATTGTTGGTGGCAATGTCAAAGAGTACAGCCACTATGGAAGACAGTCTGATGGCGTCTCAGAAAACGAAGCATACACTTACCGCATGACCCAGAAATCCCACTCCCAGGTATCCACCCAAGAGAAATGGGAACATCGATCTACACGCAGACCTCTACATGAATGTTTAAAGTAGCCTTTGTTCATAAAAGCCCCAAACTGGAAACGAGCCCAACGCCCTTGAACAAGTGAGTGGCTAAATCAACCGTGGTACAGCGCTATAATGGAATGTCGCTCGGCAACAAAAGGAAATAAACTACTGATACGTGCAACCACATGGATGTCTCGTAGATGCATTATGCCTAGTGAAACAAGCCAGACTCGAAAATGTATGTATTTGATGATTCCATTTGGAGGACATTCTGGAAAAGGTAAAAATTTAGGGACAGAAAGCAGATCAGTGGTTGCAAGGGTAGAGGGTCAGGAGCGAGGGGGTTGACTACTAAGGGGCATGAGGGAACTTTGCAGAGGACAATGAAGGTGTTCTGTATCTTGACTGGAGCAGTGGCTACAAAAGTGCATACACTTGCTAAAACTCCTCTAACCGTATGCTCAAAGAGTAAATTTTATTTGGCGTGAATCGAATCAACAAACCGGGAGTTTTGAAAACATGAAATGCAGAGACTTCAAATAAAAAAAAAAACAATCTGAAAAAATTCCATGACCTTGAAATAATGGCTTATTCAATAAATGGCACTAAGACAACTGGCTAAGCATTTGAAAAATAAAGTTAAGCCCCACTTGACGGCCCACGTGCGTACATTCCCCGTGGATTAAAGACCTAAATGTAAAAAACAAAATCAAGTAAGTTCTAGAAAAATACACTGGGCAACAACTACATAAGTCTGAGATACAAAGAGGCTTCCTACACATAGAAAATAAAGATCTGCATGCACAAAAAAAGAAAAAACCTTCCGTACATCGTTAATCACCCTAAATTCCATACAAAGGCAATCAGATGACAAGCAAAGGATTAATAGCTGATAGACCCAAAGAGCTTCACAAACTAGAAGGTTTCCAAAAGATGAATATGGAAGGGAAAAAATGGACAATGAACAAGAATTTCACAACAGAATTACTTCAAGCCGATGGACATACCAAAAAATATGAAAGTTGATACATAAAATTAAAACAAGATGCCCTTTGGGGAGCCTGAGTCAGTTGAGCGTCAGACTCTGGATTTCAGCTCAGGTCATGATCCCGGGGTCCTGGCATCGAGCCCCGCATGGGGCTTCGTGCTTCGAGCGTGGAGCCTGCTTAAGATTCTCTCTCCATCTCTCTGCTCCTCTCCCCTGCTCTCACCCGCTCTCTCAAAAGAAGAAAAAAATCTTAAAACAAGATGCCCTTTTCTCATTTGTCAGCTGGCAAGATTTTTTTTTTTTTTTAATTGGGTACATTCACGCTAGCAAAGGTGTGGCAAAACCACCACTGAGACACCACGGAGACACTGAGACAGGGTATATAAGTTGGTACAACCGACTTGTCATCTACGCTTCTTGTGAACGATTTCAGAGTATGTGTTCTAGCACTCCCCTTTCCTTAACACGAAGGAATCAGACTCTACATCTGAAACCAGGGTGTTTCATTTGACAACATATATTACATATTTTCATATATCAGTAAAACAGATCTACCTCATTTTCTTTGCCCTGTGCATAATATTTCATTGCCTGAATGCACCATAATTTATCGAAACAGTAACCGTAATAGATATTTACCCTGTATATCCTTTCTGGATGATAATGTGTCAATATTAATCACAGAGTTTAAAAAGTGTAATCTCCTTTGATCTGGCAATCTTACTTACAACAATTTATCCCCTCAAAATAATAAAACATATGTGCTAACATAGCTGTGAAATGATCCCTACGATAATGACGTTTAGACGTCATCTAAATGGCCAGTAATAGGGACTTGGTTAGGTACGTTATGATACAGTCACACGATGGAATACTATTTAGCCATTAAAAAGTATATTATAGGCCAAGGTTGGCAAACTTTTTCTGTCAATGGCCAGATGATAAATATTTTCAGCTTTGAGTCTCTGTCCCAATAACTCACTTTGCTGTTACAGCACGACAACAGCCATAGATAACATGTAAATGAACAGGTATGGCTGGGTTCCAACAAAACGTTCAGGGACACTGACATTTGAATTTCAAATAGTTTTCATGTGCTAAGATGTAGTATTCTTCTTCAGATCTTTTCAACTCCTTAAAAGTATAACAACCACTCTTAGCTTGCAGGCTGTAGACAAACAAGCAGCAGACGGGATTTGGCCCGTGGTCTGTAGTTTACAGAGGAATTCTGGGAGAAATGCAGTGGTCGGCGGCATAGCTTCTGAATCTCCGCAGACGCCACCATAAAGAACACAGCAGGAAACAGAAGTAGGGTAAGTAGAGAGCAAAACTCAGACCCACAGACACAATCTACAACAAAACCGGAACAAAATGATGCCCCCCACGGACCCTGAGATATGAATGGATAGAACAGATCAGAGACAGCGACAAGAGCACAGTGGAATCCGTCACGGGGGAGGATGGGGAGGGGAACCAGCAGGACATTTGGCAGATACGAGGACTCTAAAATAACCTGGACATCAGCAAGCTAATTTATGAACAGCAAGTGAGCCCGGCACGGGTCTGCCCTTTCGAATAGTGACTGGGTACGAGGAGTCCATGGTATAGCCTGGGAGCTGCCCGGGCCTTATGAACTCTTGAAATCACCCCAAGCTCCCTTCCCGGGCAAAGGGCCACTCTGAGGAGCCACCAGTGCACACAGACTCCACACTGGCCAGGACAGAGACAAGAGAGATCAAACAGAAAGTCCAGCTAGAAGTAGAGGAGGCAGGGGACGCCTGGGTGGCTCAGTCGGTTGAGCTCAGGTCATGATCTCGCAGTTCATGGGTTTGAGCCCCACGACAGGCTCTGTGCTGACAGCTCAGAGCCTGGACCCTTCTATGGATTCTGTGTGTCTCTCTCTCTCTTTGGCCTTCCCCCACTTGTACTCTCTCTCTCTTTCTCTCTCAAAAATAAATTTCAAAAAACATTAAAAAAAAAAGTAGAGGAGGCAAGACAAGGTGGGGGAGATTTCGGTAAGAAATTCACTATATTTTGAACAATTGTAAAAAGTGCTAGAAAATGGAACTCCATAGCCACGAAACTGGGGACAAAAGAAAACTATCCTAAATCAAGCCTCCTTCTAAAACATCAGGGAAATGAATTTCATGTAAAAATCAGCAACAGAATAAAATCCTGGCAGAATTAAAACATGCAAGAATGTCCCCTCAAATTACATGAAATTATAGTCCAATATTTTAAAGCTAGCTCACATATATTAAGAAAAAGTTATATGATATGAAAATAATGTACATGATGTGAAAGAACATAAACATTTAGAATAAGAACAACTCAGAAATGACCTGTTAAGATTCAGGAAAGAATGAGAAGGAAAAGAAAATCATTTCAGAAATGAAGATTAAGCTAAAAGGAACACAGGGGTAAATGAACACAACAGATAATACCTCAAGAGAAACAGAAGATGAAAAGCAGGGTTTTTGTTTTTTTTTTAACTAAAAAAAAATGAGGGGGCACCCGGGTGGCTCAGTCGGTTAAGCGTCCAATTCTTGATCTCAGCTCAGGTCATGATCT